ACATCACCATAATGTTATAATCAAATTTTTATATTGATTTTTCTAATAGTACACAATAACTGAATTTTAAAAATATATGAAATACTTATTTACCATTTAGGCTCGGGCCACACAATGCATTTTTTCCKCATTGGAAAATATGAATGCGGAAATTCCTTAACAGCTGTGTAGAACCACACGATGCGGAATTGTYGGATGTGAAAACAAAAATGTATTTATTTATGTAATATAAATAATACATTAATTGATTTATATAATTAATATTTTAATTAAAAAGTAAAAATACTAATATTATATGCTATTATGACCAGTTGACATAGCACAGTCAAATATTAATTTAATTACCAAAGTAAAAATGTAAAAGAATTAGGTATAACTATTTTTACATTTAACTTACCTTTTTCGTCTTTTTGTGATGGCGAAAGCTCATTTCGGCAACTTCAGCGATAGAATTCCAAGACAAGGCCCTTAAATTTTTGTCACTATATTCCTTTGACCCAACATCCCATAAACATAGCCTATAAATACAATACAATATAAATAAAATATATCAGTACTGCATGCGGAATACCGTACCGGACCATGTGGACGGCTTRATTTGAAATAATGTTATTTTCATTTGTGTCCGGTTTTGGCAATACGACATTTCTGCAGCTTGTTGTGGCAGGTCGCGGAAATGTTTGGGCATGCCGCGTCTTGTGGACAGTTATGTTTATAGCAATGTGTGTTTTTTTTTAACACTACCGCATGCGGAATCACCGCATTCAATGTCTGCATAAAAAACACATCGTGTGGCCAGAGCCTTAGACTAATTTTAATCTATTATTAATTGAAAACATTGAACCTATGTATATTTTTCTACATCTTATAGTTTTGGTGAAAATCAGTCGGACATTCAGTGTTATTAAAAATAAACAAATTATAATAATGCAGTGGTATAATTAGGGATGTATGTAGGCAATATCTCCCCTTCCTTGAAAGTTCAAAAACCTTTTTTTTCTATGTATCTTTATAAACTTACTTACGTAATACTATGTCTRAWGTATGTACTCTGGTTGTAATTTTTAAACCAAGACTAATTGGATTGGCTGCTACACTCTACTTTTTTATAAATYGCTCTATACCTTTAATATAGAAATTTATTCATAACCTAGGAATATTTAATTTAAACAAAATTATAATCATGCTATTTGCATCATCTTACTCTATACAATTAAAAACATAGTAATTACTAGTAAACATTAGATATTATCCARTATAACATGTTTGTTTTCTATCATAGGTATGAAGATGAAAAACTTTATAACAAACAGGTATCAGCAAGAGAATTATGGTTCCGTATAATAACTTCTCAAATTGAAACTGGTATGCCGTATATGTTGTATAAAGATGCATGTAATGCTAAAAGCAATCAAAAAAATCTTGGTACAATTAAGTGTAGCAATCTTTGTACTGAAGTTGTACAATACACTTCGGCAGAAGAGGTCAACATTCATCTTATTTTCATTATTATTAATCATTATACTAGTTACCTAAATATTATTTTGATAAATGTTGTATATCTGATAGGTAGCAGTGTGTAATCTAGCTTCCATTGCAGTAAATATGTTTGTTAAACCCAATGGAGAATATGATTTTGAAAAGCTTTTAAAAATTACTAAAATTGTCACTAGAAATTTGAACAAAGTAATAGATGTCAACTTTTATCCTGTCAAAGAAGTAATTCAATTTATTAAATTAATTACAGTATTATCCTATTTATTTTATATCAAATTGTAATCACATAGGCTGAAACTTCTAATAAACGACATCGTCCTATTGGAATTGGTATCCAAGGGTTGGCAGATTTATTCTCAATTATGCGATTTCCATTTGGCTCACCTGAATCACGAAAGCTTAATTTACAAATATTTGAAACTTTGTATTATGGTGCGTTAGAAGCTAGTTGTGAATTAGCTGAAAAATATGGAACTTATTCATCGTATCAAGGATCACCAATCAGTCAAGGAGTATGTACTTTAAAAGTTTAAAATATAAGTACAGATATAAATTGATTTAATTTTTATGATTTTAGATTTTACAGTATGATATGTGGAATGTAAAGCCCAGTGATTTATGGAATTGGGAAATATTAAAAGAAAAAATTGCTAAACACGGTGTTAGAAATTCATTGTTGTTAGCACCCATGCCTACTGCTTCAACAGCTCAAATTCTTGGCAATAATGAATCTATAGAACCCTATACAACAAATTTATATTACAGACGTACTCTTAGTGGAGAATTTAGTGTTAGTAAATACTAAATAAAATAGCATACATATTTGATTATTTTATTTTTAACTTATTTTCATACTCCAGGTGATTAATCGTCATTTGTTAAACGATCTAATTAAACTTGACCTATGGAATGAAGATATGAGAAATAAATTGATTTTCCATAAAGGATCAGTACAGGTAAAAAAAATAWAAAATATTTTAATTGCCAAAATGTGTACTTAAACTTTAGATCTATGTTAATTTAGAAAATAGAAAGTATTCCAGACAATATTAAAGAACTGTATAAAACAAATTGGGAACTATCTCAAAAAATCATTTTAGATATGGCTGCAGATCGAGCAGCATACATTGATCAATCTCAGTCATTAAATATTCACATTGAGCAACCAACTATTAGTAAAATATCATCTGTTCATTTCTATGGATGGAAAAAAGTAAGTTAATTGTTCAATTCTAAGCATTCAAAATGTTTTAAAAATKTTATTTATTTTATTCTTTTAATCATTTATAACAGGGCTTAAAAACTGGTATGTACTATTTGCGTACCAGACCAGCAGCTGATCCTATACAGTTTACTGTTGATAAAAGTACACTGTCTAATAATGTTGCGATCCAAACCGAGAAAAATGATGCACTAAATATGGAACAATTGGTATGTTCATTGGTAAATAAAGATGCTTGCACAATGTGTGGTGCTTAGATCACTGATACATACTTTCATYTGTGTGGTTATTGATGTATCAGATAATGTCAAATATTATTTATGTGGTAATTTCACCATGATTTTTTTGTAATCCCTTTTTCAA